CTCAGTCTGGCAGCTATAGAGAACGAATTCTCCTGTTAAAAAAAACCAGATGAAAATCAAAACCTGACGTTTATTAGGCAAGTAAAGAATAAAACATATGAAATCCATCACGAGGCACATCGGTAAGAGTAGTCGTTATCACCCGACACGAACACAGAAAGTAGAAACAATGAAAAAGATTTCGAAAAGTGCACAGGCCCGTAACGTTATGTGATATGCAAACGCAGTGCAAGAGATCAAATCACAGTCAAAAATCATCCGAAACTTCGAACTGTCTCTCTTCATCTTTAAGTTGCATGCGTTTAACGAAGTCAGCTAATGACGTCTCAAAGTCCGTAAATTGATGGAACACATGCAATTGTTTCTGAATCCATGTCGATACACGAGCTGACGATACAACTTCTGCAAGTATCAGTCCATCTTCGCTGCTTTCCGTAAGGCCATAAACTCTAAACTCACTTCCTCCAGATCTCACCGCTTGCGCTGTCAAACGTTCATCGACCAGTACCAGAGCACCCCAATCGTTTCGATGCCGCAAACATCTGAACAGTCCTACTAGATTGATTTGCTTCGTCAAGCCGAGACTAACCTTCCAAGCGCTTGATTCAAAGCTCGGTAGGCTTGTGATACATACCACTGGTCTCCAGTGAGTAATGCTTTAGTTTTACAAAACTCGTCATTATAGATCTTTTTCTCTTTCACCTAAATAGATGGTGATTTCTGAAATCGGTTGAACTGGCATGTGTGCATTACTTACTAGATCATCCATTGCATTTGGAAAAGGGATACCAACAGATATTACCAATCTGGCAAGGTCATCAGCAAAGTCAATACCCTCTGATACCTAAATAAAATTGTATTACGAAACATCATAAAAAAACATTTTTTTTCAACAAAGCTAATTGAAATTCTTACTTTGCCTCGGAAAACAGCAAACATTAGAGCGCCATCTACATGTCGACCATGGCTAGTCGGATTTCTTACTGCATCCTCATAGATTTCCATCACAGCGGGCAAATCGGAAGAACGACGAGGTTCTTTCACTACCACCTCAAAAGTTTGCCCATGAGAGTTGGAAGAATAAAAACAACAAGGTTACCTTCCGTTGCTGGACTTGTCGCAGAATTGAAGCATTCTCCATGTACTCGAATACCAATGTCAACATGCGATAACTTGGGAAGAAACATAGTATTCCTTTCGGTACGGTTTGGCATATTGTGCTATAAATGCTCAAGTTTGTACAAAAAAGTGCATCTGAAAAGATTTGCACATTACTTACCGTATACTCAACGCCAACTCGCTGACAAAAGGGCTGCCGCCATCGGAAACATTGCGATATGTTGCACATAGATGGTGTCCAGAAGGTCCCTGAATTAATAATTAGTGGTACACAAAATTCATGACTGACCGTTGTTGACCTACCACTGGCAAAACTGCAGCGAATATCTGCTCGGATGGAATAACTTGCTCTCCTTCCATCTGGAAACAAAGTACTAAGAACGTAAAAAAACTATGCAAGATTTCTTATCCTTACCTGAGAATGAAATTTCAAACCCAATTCTGTCTTCAATGTCTCCACAGGACAAAGAGTACCAGATGCCAGAATCACGGAACGACATTCGGAAAAAGCGCTAATGAAAGCCTGAATTTAGTTATAAGCACTAAAGAATATGTCCTGTACAAAAACTAACCAATTCTGGTGACATGCACCATAAGCTAAATGATGTTCGATAACCGGCGCGGATGGGTTCATGCCCTGAAGGTCCCTGAGTCGAAGAAAGCCAGACGTCCGTTTCATCACCAGTCATCTGGCTGTAATTGAGGTTCTTGGGGCCAGCTTGTCCATCTCGCCGTCCTCCGCCTTCGATATAAGCTCCTCGCTCATGATATTGGTATACTTTCTCGCTACATACATTCAGCCTAAATCAAAAGAATCTTTTGCAAATTACAGAAGTGAGCAAAGGGCTGCGCTGATCGTAAATCCAGCACATTTGAAGGCAGTGTCCGGGCAAAAACCCGATTTTGAGATTTTGT